TGCTTCATGAAGCCAACAAGTATGGGCGCAAGCTGACAATCCTAGAATCATGTGGGAATCTGACTTTTGAACAACTGTGCACAACAAACTGGGTGGGTGAGTGAGTTTAGTTTTACGCCGCTTTTAGCAATATTCCAGCAATATCGTGGTGGGGACACCAGAAATGGGCTTCACACATTGTGCCCATGTTGGGAATCGAACCCGGGCCTTCCGGTGACAAGTGAACGCTTTAACCACTAGGCTGCCCAGCACCCCCACAACAAACTGGGTCCCTGGATCGTACACTCGTGAGTTGTTCACACAATCGACATCCCTGCAGCAGGGAATGGACAGTGCTGAACATCACTATAAATGACAAATAACGTTCATGAGCTAAACAACATGGTACGGAATGTACAACATCTTACTTCTTTCAAACATATTGCTAAGGGACCAGTTCAAATGTCGGATAAAAAACAAGTTAAAGTATTGGGTTGGGGTGGGTTAATGGCTCTGCAAGTTTTCCATCCTACAAAAATGGCTTATAAAATTTTTCATTGTTTTGAATAGGAACCAAACTAAGTAAAACTCTTTTGTTGATCTGGATTTTTTTATTTGATGTTAGATGTCGACAAATACGCTGAGAGTTTCCATAAGGTTGAGTTTTGCCATGCCAACTCAACAGCAATATCACGGTGGAAGGACACCAGAAATGGACTTCACACATTGAGGGGAATCAAACCCAGGTCTTCAGCGCTATGAATGAACACTTTAACCACTAGGCTACCCCACTTCCCCGGTTAGTCCTAGTGGAGTGTGTAATACAGACTGACCAACTAGATCAAAACCTTACAACTGATTTCCAACACTTGGTAAAACGAAGAAAGTTGACACAACTGTTAACAAAGAAGTCGCTAAACTAAAATATTTCCAGAATTTGCTTTTTGGGTGGGTGTGTCTCAAATAATTTTTCATCTTTCAACTTTTGAACTGGTCCTGTATAATATCATTATCTTGATGAACTAATGCCCAAAGACCACTGAACACAAATTGATTTCACAGTCATACAAAGATGCCCAATCCTTAATATTGTTGTCGCATTCTGACACCCACTGTAACCATGGTAACATATCCTGTTTCTTCATGTTTCATTTATGAAACACAACATAATCAGATTAGTGAAAGTTCTCTCAAACTGCAGCAGAATACTCAGCAAAACCATTGCCGAGACTTGAACTAGCATTCAGTGAGTGAGTGAGTGAGTTTGGTTTTACGCCGCTTTTAGCAATATTCCAGGAATATCACGGCGGGGACACCAGATATGGGCTTCACACATTGTACCCATGTGGGGAATCGAACCCGGGTCTTCGGTGTGACGAGCGAACGCTTTAACCATCAGGCTACCCCACCACCCCTGAACTAGCATTGTCTATCAGAGTAAGAAAAACAGAGGCACTGTAGTTCACTTTCATTATTAAAAATAATGGTGGAAACATTTACAGTCAAATTGGAATTCAATTTGCAATTTTCAGAGACATGGTAGCTGGAATTAATTAAACCAACCTCCTTCTCACTGCAGATTTCTGAGATGTCAAAAGTGTAAAACTTCACATCAGACAGACAACCTTGACCTTGACATCTACTCACATGACATTTAGCCAGGCGATTAACACTTGAATTCTAAAGTTTCTGAAGACCAACACACTGGGTACAATGTAACACATATTCTGTTTCCTTGGAAGAATTGGGGCATCTTAGTACGCATGACTTGTAAGACGTGTACTGAGACATCAAACATTCATTATAAAAAGAATGTCACACAATCTCTGAGGACGTTCAATGGAAAAAATGACTTTTTTTTCAATGGAAACAGTTGAAACTATTCTTTCTTATATTTGGCCAAATAAAAATAATGAACATTTTTTCAATAAAAAACCCTGTATTGACTTTTTTTCAAGATCATTGGTCAACAACTGTTAGCCATTAACAAAAAATATTAAGTAGTTTTCAAAATATGACTGACTGACTGACTGAGTTTGGTTTTAAGCCGCTTTTAGCAATATTCCAGCAACATCACAGCGAGGGACACCAGAAATGGGCTTCACACATTGTATTCAAAATATGATTTTATACTGGTGCACAATAATCATACGAAAGGGGAATGGTTAATAAAATAATAACATCCTTCATCAACAAACTGAACCCACAAAACATGGTTTCAAAACAAAAGTGTTTCTAAATCAGACACACAGCTCGTACAATCAATCACAACATACATGTATATACCGTACATATTAGAAAACCCTCAGAATCCGTAAGGATTGAGTTCAAACTAAACTGTAAATCGTATTCAATGTCACTATTTAAAGTATATCTTATCATACTGTGTTTGACACACTATTTCCTTGGACCCAATTTCAACAAGAATTAACCTTGAAAAGGCATAGGAAACAAACTTTAAAACTTCAAAAAAATGAATATTTCACCTTCCACAATTAAAGGGCCACTGATCCAGAGCGATTAATGTTTCCAGACAAGAGTCTAATTACGAAAAACCTAGCTGCAAACTGGTCAGCCCCTGCTCCCTCGACCGTGACGGACACGGGGACTGGGCTACTGTCCACCCTGGCAGAATTTCTTCAACCTAATCAGTGGGACATTAGGAAGGGTGGATGCCCATCAGATGCCGTTATTTGAAAATATCCCCTACAGTTCTTGTCTGATTGTAATAAAGTATCCCACCAGTGTAGGCTTTTTCAGATTTTCAAATGTTTCAAGATGGTATAGTGACTGATCCAATTTGATCCTATTTCTGTTTTTTTACCTCAGGCTTCTCACCAAATTCAAGGTCAAACTATTTCTTAAATCAAATTCTACGTCCATTTACGGTAACATTTTTATAAAGTCAACATTACTATGAAATCAAAATTTTACATCAAAATCAGCATTTTTATCAAAGTGAATTTGTTTTTTATAAGAAACCAAATTATTCATCAGTCTACATAATTTTAGTACAAAATCAAGATTATCGAGTAAAAAAGATTTCATCTTTGTTGATCATTCTATACTTATACTATCAGCTGCGCATGAGGGTGGCGCAGCAGAGGTAACGAACCAGTCATGAATTCTGGGAAAAAATCTGGGTACTCACGGGAGAAAAACAATAACAAAAGCAATAACCAGTCCACGGAAATTGCTCTGGATCAGTGGCCCTTTATATTTAAAAATAAATGTTGTATCTCAAACACTCTTTTCATACGTCTCTTTCAGTATTATAAAGATCAAGCTATCGTCACTATCATCTCCGCTGAAACTAATCTAAAGCCAATGATACTGTAACATCAATGCAAGGTCAACCTTTCTTCAAGGTTATAGGGCAAAAAAGGTGATGATGTTGACCTCTACAGCGTTTATAACATCAACACAGAAATTTTTCAGAGTGAGTTTAGTTTTACACCACACATTCCAGCTATATGGCCGGAAAGTTTCCAGAAAAATCAATGATTTAAAAATTCATATCTTTGGCATCAAGTATTGCTATTTCTAATTGATGTGCAGAAGGTATACCACACGACCGACCTGCATTAGAGTATGGGGATCTGAGTACTTTCAAACTGAAGAGTCGGCAAACAAATCCAGCCATGGACTAAACATGTGAATTTATTCACAAGAAATGCACTTGAGAAATGTAAAAGTAATTAATTGCACAGATTTACGAAAGCGCAAACAAGACGAGACATTTGAAAATACAGTCAAACACCATTGTGGCGAGGTCAAAGCGACCTATGTAAATACTTCAAGTTATTCAAAGTTTGACACAACTCAAAAATGATGACTAAATAAGGATTACACACGTAGCAACTTCAAGACAACAACTTTGACTTAGCACTATTTTTCTTTTACACCTAAAATGACCACTCTTGTTTTCAAAGCAATTGGAAAGTTAAATAATCATACCAATTGCTTTTGCTGTACAACCAAAACTTGATTATTGCCATCGATCCAACTTACATCACCTTACTAAATATCTGAAATTGCTGTTATAAATCTGTACATGGCGGACATTGTTGCCATGGCAACCTATGACTCACACACTGATGTTTCCTGGATAAGTTTCGTATTAAAACTAACAAAACAAGAAAGAATTTTAACCAGTAAGTTACGCAAGAAAATGGATGGAGTGCGTAACTATGGTAACCAAGTGTATGCAACAACAAACTTCTTGTCAAAGATATCCTTGTTTAAATAGCAGACATTTCATATAAGTAGTACATATGTTGAGCCCCAAGGAACATTATCAAGGGCAAATAGGAAAATACAAACCATCAACACAAGAAGAACTTGGCAGCCAAGGGAGGCAACTACGCACAGCAAATTATGGACTGACACAACTGGGCCGTCAAAAAAAAGAAAATGAATACAAAAATATTGAAGAGATTGGAAAGATGTTAAATTTAAACAAAACAAAATCACTGTGGTGGTCCTTTGATCATAACAATTATTCAATGTGTTGGAGGCGAAATTTCCGTAATGAACAATGGTAACAAAAAATACAGTACAAATATGACAAATATTTCATCTGTGGCATGTCAACATATATCGGCAGAAAGTGGACACTCTATTGCTGTCCAGTGTGGGTGTTGATAGAATCTTCACCATGTTGTCCGATCGAAGGTATCCTTTTTCATCCAATGCGATAATTCGATATTGTACGAACTGTTCATGTCATGCTGTCCATAGAAAAATCACAGCACAACTTCATAATCCAATCAAGAAGTATCTTCCACTTTTGTCCATATCATGTTTTCTATTCAGAAGCCTGCTCTGAATATCTCAGCCAATCAAATCATGCCCTGTACATCCTATCAAAATCAGAGATGTTAAAAAAGCAATGCTGACAAGGGAGGCTACTCCGGCTTTTCCAAGTTTTGTTTACAGTCTTGAGCCATGTAATAGAAATACTTCAAGCACTCGGCCACAGGAAAAGCTTAAATTGTTTATTTACAACGTGACAAGTTAGAAATAGCCATTGTATTTATTATCACAAACAGTGACAACAGAGTCTGTAGTGAAACAAAATGCTGAGTTAAATCCACATGGTCTCCACACAAATGGAGGAAACAAAATGGCTTCTGTCCCTGAATCGCATGTGGAACAAGCTTGTCCACACAGCCAGTCACATGACAGTCACGTGACCGTCACGTGGTAATCACATGACTAGAGCATCAGATCTTCCTCCCCAGTCTATCACATTGTGACCTTTTCACCTTTGAGCCTTGACCTTCCACCTTAGCACAAAATAGCAGCCAATCCTAAGGATTACGAAGAATATACAGAGTATGATGAAATCCAGCCAGAACTCAGCATTTTCAACATCCATCTGCTTCAGAACGTCGGATGCCTTCTTGAAGATGCAGACACTTTCATCACAGTTCAACGATCCCCTGTCGAATCCGTATATAGCTTGTAGAACCCCCTCAAAGGAATACCTGAAGAAAGACAGATACGTGCGTGAGTGAGTATGGTTTTGCTACATTTAGCAATATTCCAGCAATATCACGACAGACAACACGGAAAAATGGGCTTCACACATTGTACCTAAAGAATCCAACTAAGGCCATCGATATGATGAGTGAACACTTTAGACAATTGGCTACCCCTATACCACATGAGAAGGGATAAATATTTTTGAAGCCTTTTGGGTAGGTTGTCCAACTTAAAAGAAAATTAACCCTATGTTATAGTTTGCAGTACAGTACATAGCTGGTATGATACAAAAATCACATTTCAAAACTTCTGAAAATTTATGAAAAAAATTCATTGATATTAGAAAGTTTCATACTGCATGGAGAAGCAGTATGTTTGCAGGATTTACCCTAACTACGTACATGGTTGAGTATCAGTTGAAGTGAGTGAGCAATGATCACCTGTACTAATTATCTCACCTTAAGTGTGTGATGACTACCTATATTAATTATCTCGCCTTTTCGTGTGAGTGATGATCACCTGTACTAATTATCTCACCTTTAGTGTGTGTGATGATCACCTGTTCTAATTATCTCCCCATTAGTGTGTGTGATGATCACCTGTACCAATTATCTCACCTTTAGTGTGTGTGATGACTCACCTGTAGTGATGATCACCTGTACTAATTATCTCACCTTTAGTGTGTGTGATGATCACCTGTACTAATTATCTCACCTTTAGTGTGTGTGATGATCACCTGTACTAATTATCTCACCTTTAGTGTGTGATGATCACCTGTACTAATTATCTCACCTTTAGTGTGTGTGATGATCACCTGTACTAATTATCTCACCTTTAGTGTGTGTGATGATCACCTGTACTAATTATCTCACCTTTAGTGTGTGTGATGATCACCTGTACTAATTATCTCACCTTTAGTGTGAGTGATGATCACCTGCACTAATTATCTCACCTTTAGTGTGTGTGTAGTGTATGTGTGAGTGTGTGATGATCACCTGTACTCCTTATCTCACCTTTAGTGTGAGTGATGATCACCTTTTATCTCAGCCTGTGAGTGATGATCACCTGTACTGCGTGATCTCACCTTTAGTGTGAGTGATGATCACCTGTACTGATGATCTCACCTTTAGTGTGTGTTATGATGTACTGCGTGATGATGATGATCACCTGTACTCGTTGATCTCACCTTTAGGTGTGTGTGATGATCACCTGTACCTGATCTCACCTTTAGTGTGTGATGATCACCTGTACTCGTGATCTCACCTTTAGTGTGAGTGATGATCACCTGTACTTGTGATCTCACCTTTTGTGCGAGTGATGATCACCTGCCCTCGTGATCTCACCTGTCATGAGTGTGTATGGCTTATGTTACAAGCCTGTGTGTTTATACTAGCTAGCCACCTGTACTCGTTAATACACCTGTACTAAAATGTATGAGTTATGGTTACCTGAGCTATTTTCTCACCTGATATAGGACACATAGGAGAGCCACTGTAGATACGTTGGGATTGTGTCAAAGTTGACGAAGAACCCACTGAACAGAAGGATGGGGATAGCTGTGACAGGTCCCAGGAACACAGCCACCTGTGAAAACAGGTAACACCGAGATACACACCTTTACATACACAGACAACCTGGTTCAGACTAGAGTCGTGATTTCAGCGCCTAACGTAGCAGTCACTTCTACATTCAGTCACTGTTCCCACAAAAACACTCTCACATTCTGTACCTTATAAATCAGATCTCCTTACAACAAACTTGTACATGTATCTTGTGAAAAGGATTAACTCTGTTCTATATGAAAAATAATAATAATAATTGCTTTGTATAGCCCATTTCCAGCTATATGCAGCTGCTCAATGGCGCTTTACAAGTTAGAAGTCACTTTATTACAGCTCAATCCCTAGATGAGAAAAGAAATGTTTTGAGTTTTCTCTTAAAAGTTGAGAGAGAGTCACTGCTCCTGATGTCAAGGGGGACCGCGTTCCACAGTGCGGGAGCTGCAACTGAGAAGGCTCAATCTCCAGCCTTTGTTGATGTTGATGGAACAACCAGTTTCTCCTTCTGGGCAGAACGTAAGGTTCTAGATGGGTGGTAGACCGCTGTATATATTGACGTTGTATATATTGGTAATTTGAAATTATCCGACGAAATTTGCAGGCCGCTTGTTAAATGTTGCACAGAGGTATCAATGTCTATCATGGATAAACCCTGTACTTTGGAGGATTAAACATCATAGTAGCCAATTATGTGATCAATCAATCAATCTTGCTGCCTTATTGTTTGTTGTTTAACGCAGCACTCAGCAATATTCCAGTTATGGCAGCGATAATTATGGACCAGAAAATCCAGCGATCAACAGCAACAGCATCAATCTACGCAATTGGGACACGATGACATGTGTCAACAAAGTCATCTAGCCTGACCACCCGATCCCGTAGGTTGCATCTTACGACAAGCATGGGTTACTGAAGACCAGTTCTGACCCGGACCTTTAGTGGTGTTCCCCAACTGACAAACACCCACAAACTGCCGTGTGGACAGATTACCTGTAACGACGTGGCAGCCCCGATGAGTAAGCCCAGTGATTGGGCAACCAGTGACGTCTGGGTCGACAGGGTCAGGAACATCACAAATCGCACAAAGTCGTTTGGCTGCGAAGTCATCCAGTAGACAATGGACCCATACACCAATGGAAATATAATCTGGAAGACAATTGGATAAAACATAAACACGCATACAATGAAGATGACGATATTCTGAATCGGTATGGATACCTTTTCGTTTGGTGTTTAACACCAAATTTGGCATGGATACTCTACAGTTTGTTATTTAAATGCCACACAAAGAAATATTACAGCTAAGGCCAGACCAATTTTATTTCTTGTTTTATGGATCCACTGGTCGTATTTTTCCAAGAATAAGAAAAAAATTAAAATTTATTTTCCCCGCTCAAAAACTAAAATCCTCATGTTTTATTGGCCAAAAATGTAAACTTACAAAAAAATAATAACTTTTGATTGTTTTTTGCCCCATAAACACTTCATAAATTGCCCCCAAAACCAAACTTTTAGTATTTAAAAGGACTATTAATTTGACAGGTGATTTCTATTTTTATGTTTTTTCAAAAATCCGTAAAACAAGAAATAAAATTGGTCTGGCCTAAAGAACATTTTCAGACAATTCCCAAAACATTATATTTTAACTTCCAAAGTATAAAAAGCCATCTATCTACGAAAATTTATGAACATCCTTTATATGTGCATCAAAAGTTGACATTTAACTGGCTAAAGTCACATTTTTCAAATGAACATTATATGATGTGAATCCAACCTGCAATGTCACTTTTCATGTTTTAGTATTCCAACCCTGTTTCACCACTGAGTCGCTGGTCAGGGACAAAAGGGAGTTCAATCTCACATATCACCAACTCTAGTTGTCAACATGCAATCTCTCTCTTAACCTCTATCATTATAAGGTAGACCGCCTCCGTGGTGTAGTGGTTAGAGCGTCCGCCCGAGAGCGGAAGGTCGTGGGTTCGATCCCCAGCCGCGTCATACCAAAAGACATTAAAATATGGTACTTGTTGGTCCCTGCCTGGCGCTCGGCGTTAATGGGTACAACAAGGACTGGTCGGCTCGGAGTCGGTATAATGTGTCTGAGTGGGGTATTCATGCTTCACTGCGGCATGGTACCTCAGTGAGCTAGCACCATAAAACCAGCTTAAAAGTCTGGGCTAGTACAAGCAGCCAGACATACACACGCATGCACGTCGTCATATGAGCGAAATAACCTTAAGTACGACGATAAACCCCATTTCACCTCACCTCATTATAAAGTATGACAGTGTGTTATTTCTTTCTTGTTAGTATTTCTTGCATATCGATGGTTCAAGGAGCATATTAATTGTAAGATCCAACAACACCCTCGACATGTTGGAGATTCCCAAACCTCCCAACTCTGCACGCCTACTCACCTGGAATGGCATGTCGGCCATGGTTTTAGCCAGATAGTAGGCTTTGAGACTGTACCAGTAGTTCAAGTGCTCCCTGACGAACACCGCCATCTCCATCGGAACTGAAATACAGAAAATTAACAGTCATCAGAAAATTAAAAGTCAAGACCTACACACAAAGATTTCTCATTTAATTGTTTTGGGGGGTTTATGTTGGAGGCAGGTAATTTTTTCAGTCACTCCTATAAAACATGCTTCTGAAAGAATAATCTGGATTTTTATTTCATATTTTATAGCATTTTCAGCGAGTTTTATAATTCAAAACACAACAAAAATTTCTCACTTTTCACAGTTTACTGGAACACGTTATATATTAAAATACAGTTTCTGAGGACTATTCTCATCTGGAAAATGATAAAGGAGTGACAAGATTTTCTAACGAAAAAAGCAAGGGGATCTGTTGGCCACATTGGGGTGAGTGAGTGAGTATAGTTTTACTGCTGCTTTTAGCAATCTAACCACTAGGCTACCCCACCTTCCCTACACTGGGGTGAAAGAATCACAGAACGGCAAAACACTCACATGTGAGAACAGTTGGCATGAGGGCAGTGAACATCAAGAACAGCATACAGAAAAACAGACATCCCGCGTTGTTGAAGACTTTGCTGGCTTCGTTGCCGATGCCAAGATAGAGGAGGCCAATGAGGATGCCCACAGTGAGGTGGGAAATGAGCCTCAGCCTCGTCAGGGTCTGCAATACAACTACCACTCTCTAAGATTCATCTTAACATCATAAATCTGATTGCAGTATATATAAATTCACAATCTGGACATATTGGGTGTATGAGGCTGGTGAAGGTGAAGGTCAATTACCATATACTTCATGTAGGTGAAGGTCACATATTCTTCTTGAAAGTGAAGGTCACTATGTCCCTAATGATGGAGGTGAAGTAGAGGAGTCTGAGCACACCATTTCATAAAAACTAAAAATATCCCCCAAATTTTATGATTTGTAACTTTTTTTGATCAGCATACAGGGTTCGAAATACCCCATATATTAGTGTGCCATGGCACGGTAAATATTGAAATGGCACGGATAAAAAATGTTCTCGGTGCCCTTTTGACACGCCTAATATTTTAGAGACATAACTCACATTTAGTCATTTAATCCGCAAAACAATTATTTTTTTCCAAACTGAATAATACCATACATATTTGCTCAAAAACCCATTTCTTTATTTAACAATAAATTTCAAATGATCATCATCATTGTCATTTATTCTAAAAACATGTGGGCATAGTCGATTTCTGAAAGGTACACCTAAAATATTTGTCTGGTGCCCTAAGGCACACTTAGAAAAAAAAAAGTATTTCTATCCCTGGCATACATCATCAAATAGGTCAGAAGTTTGATGGGACTTCACACATTACAGGCTGGAGGTGACCCACTGCGCCATAACAAAGGTCAAAGGTCAGAGGTGACTTACCGCATCCCTCATTATAGAGGTGAAAGTCCTCATGAAGAGAATCCTGAACTGGGTGAAGCAGCTGGTGGCGAACGTGTGACACTCCTGGTCATACATCAAGTCCTGCAACAGACAATCTTGCTTGATAACAATGACTTGCAGAGTTTCTCAATGAGACTGTGGACATAATAACTGTCTCAGATCAACATCCTGTGTTTAATGTAGTTCAACAAACCAAAGGGATTGAGGTTTGTGACACATGGACATAATTAGGGCAAATCTGATATTTTAACCAGCACATCCTTGCAAAGCTAAGGGAAGTAACTATGTATTGTCTCTTGTGATGACAGGAAGGTTGAAACTCCTATTGCAGGATAGCATTTTCACACCTTTACATCTCGATCAAGCACCTTACACCTTTTATTTTGTTTTCCAGAAGTTCGAGAAAACTATAGAAGCTTTTAAAACTTTGTCAACATGGTCAATTTGAAAAGTGTAATTTTAATGACAAATGAATGGTATTGTAAGCTGGTCAGCAATATGCCATGACGGTCTATTGACAAGTCCAAACAAGATTGAGGAGTACGGTTTCACACCAGTTTTGCAATATTCCAGCAACGTCTTGGCGAGGAATACCAGAAATGGGTTTCACACATAGTACCTGACAGACAAGACAAACCTGAGACTGGAAGCTTGTGCAACAATTACTACTTTGAGGTAGGTGGCGGCGGTGGGGTAGCTTAGTGGTTAAAGCGTTCGCTCACCACGCCAAAGACCCAGGTTCGATTCCCCTCATGGTTACAATGTGTGAAGCCCATTTCTGGCGTACCCCGCCGTGATATTGCTGGGATATTGATAAAAGTGGCGTAAAACCAACCCCCTCACTCACTTAAGTAGGACACACAAGCCAGTTCCTCCCTCATATTTTATCCTTTCATATGTAACAATTCACTTCAAATTCTTCACTTCAAACTGTTTCCTACAAACGATAGCTTTTGCCATTTTCAGGGGTGGAAATAACTTTAAAATTGATAGTGTACTCCGGTACAGTGGCACGTGTGATGCCACTTGCCCTGATAATATTTCCACTATACCGACCGTTTTCCTGCTGATTTTTTAAATAAACAACATAATTAACATTGGACAGTCAACTGGAAACCGGTACAGTGTGATACACAAATTTGCTTGATCGACAGAAAAAAACACTGGACTCGGACGTCGGGCAATGGGTTATTTCCACCCCTGCATTTTGGTCTTGTAAGATTTCAAAACATTCAATAAAAATTGTAAAAATTTAAAGTAATAACACTGCTCCAAAGTAACTCCTTTGTTGATTCACACTGCTTTCAGCAATATTCCAGCTATATGACATCCTGCAAATAAACACATCCGGACCAGACAATCCACTGATTGATAATGAGCAACAATCCATGTCGATGACATTCAATACACAACAATGGCATGCAATCAACTCAGGCATCGAGACTGACCACGGGATCCAAAACCTTGCCTCTTACAACCAACACTGGCCACTTGGGCCTATTCCATCTAGAATTCTGGCCAAGATGTAAGTGATTAATTGGTGCCATGAGAATCATGAGATATCTATGTTAATAATGCTCCAGTATAAAGTGCAATTCCCACTAAGACGTGTATACCCTTTGTGCAAAAGAGAAGTATGCCTCAACCTCGCCAATCCAGGGAATTATAGCTCCATTCCTTCATGGTAAATACCCTGAACCTGTTTAAATACATAGCCTTGCTCTGAAATCGGCGACTCTAAAAATAAATGCTGATTCAAATGACTGTTTTTCATCATATTCACAACTGAAAACGTAGATTCTAACTTCTAAATCTCTCACACAACATTAAAATATAAGGAATTCCTTCTTGTGTTAGTGACAAAAAATATATTTCCCAGAAAAGAGTGAGTATGGTTTTACACCTCTTTTAGCAATATTCCAGCAATAATTAGAATAAGTAGAATTACCCCTCACAATTACCGATACTGTGGGTGTTGCGTTTCTAAGTTTGTTGAGTACATAGATGGTCACCAAATCTAAACGTCCAATGAGTATCATTACAGCGAGATAGGAGTGAGTGAGTGAGTGAGTGAGTGAGTGAGTATCACACTAAACACTATTCCAGTCTCAGCCTAATGTTGGAGTGAGTGAGTGAGTTTTGGTTTTACGCCGCTTGTAGCAATATTCCAGCAATATCACGGTGGGGACACCAGAAATGGGCTTCACACATTGTACCCATGTGGGGAATTGAACCCGGGACTTCAGCGTGACGAGCGAACGCTTTAACGACTAGGCTACCCCACCGCCCCAATGTTGGAGTGAGTGAGTGAGTTTAGTTTTATGTAGCTATTAGCAATATCCCAGCAATATCATGGCAGGGGACACCAGAAATGGGCTTCACACATTGTACCCATGTGGGGAATCGAACTCTGGTCTTCGTCGAGACAAGCAAACGCTTTAGCCACTGGGCTACCCCATTGCCACTTTCCAGATAAGATGTTTCTCATATGCAATGCCTTAATATAAGGTTGCTTCACTTGCAGAAGGTGAAGGGAAATGGTGTTAAATGTTATTCCAAGATTATTCCACCCATAGAGTGACATGCATGTGGGTTGTACCAGTAGGGAAGTCAGATATGGTGGCCATCTTAGAAAACAAAATGGCTGCTTTATACACTCACTAAAACAGCCATATAGCTTAACGTTTTGACATACTCATTTCGGCATGAACTAAAAGTATATGTAGACTCCTGAATAAGTGGTGAGTGAGTGAGTTTAGTTTTACGCCACACTCAGCAATATTCCAGCTGTATGGCGGCGGTCTGTAAATAATCAAGTCTGGACCAGGCAATCTAGTGATCTACAGCATGAGCATCAATCTACCTACTGGAATACGATGACGTGTGTCATCCAAGTCAGCAAGCCTGACCACCCGATCCCGTTAATCGCCTCTTTCGACAAGCATGGGTTACTGAAGGTTCATTCTAACCCAGACCTTCATGGGTTCTTTTGGTAGGATGCATTTAGAGATCAAATCAAGAACTTTGAGCTCTCTTCAGAGAGGCACAGGCACTCACACGCAGGCAATCCTCGGACTTAATGCAGATCTGAGCTCAACTCAAAGACTGAATAAGTATTTTCACATATTTTTCGATTTTAAGCACATATGCAAAAGTCATTCTGTGTTAGTGTTGTAAACAGAAATGAAGCTTTGATGTTGGATGCAAATAGATCCAGGGTATTTATAACAGAATGGAGCCCCGAAAAGATATGGTTGCAAAGTTTTGCCAGTACAAAGAGATCTTAGCGATAAGGTGACCGTAACTTCCATACCTTAATATAGACTTAAGGAAGTCTTAGCGCTAAGATTGTTTTGTAAAACACCCTGGATTAACGAGGATGAGCATGCTTCAACCTGAAGAGAAAAGACCGTCAAAACAAATACTGTACACCATGCAACTAGTTCACTACAACTCGAAGGAAACATTTAAACCATACAGATAAATAATAAACAAAATATCACTTCATGCAGGAATATGCCCAAAAAAATTAAAAAGGATAAAAAAATAAAGAAAACGAAACTGAGGCACAACATGAATAATATTAGTTGTACATAAAATAAAATCAAGGTGTAATGTGTCATGCCCCTACTTCCCCAAGCCAGCCTTTATAAGTTTCCATATTTTACTCAATATTTTCTTGATAATATGGAATAACCAAACCTCCAAACCATATATCTGAAGTCAATAAACATTAACTTAATTATCTTATTTATCTTGCATCATCTCTTTAAATGTCATTTTAGAGCAGAATCGCTGTTTGCAAGAATTTCACAGATAGTTATTTTCCAAAATAGTATCAGAAATTGTAATCCATTATTATCAAATTACCAAGCAATAATTTTCACAAATTTTAAATGTATAATTATCCCAAAATTTTCTGTCCTTATGCTTAGGCCCTTCACAGATTTTAGATGATTCATTTAAAAGGGTTATTTCACGATCAGCATATTGAGTGAAAGTGTCTGGTTAACAATCGCATTAAAATCAAATGTTTTACTCTAATAGGAACCACTTTGCATGAAGATCTGAAGATGTTTTCATAGGTGGTCACCTCAGATGAGTGAGTGAGTATGGTTTTACGCCGCTTTTAGCAATATTCCAGCAATATCACAGCAGGGGACACAGAAATGGGCTTCACACATTGTACACATGTGGGGTATCGAACTCGGGTCTTCAGCGTGAAGACGCATAAACCACTAGGCTACCCCACCTCAGATGAACCCTTACAGTGTTTTAACTGCCGAATCTAAACAAAGGACTGATTTGTGTGGAATTTCAAGAAGTTGGAGAGTCAGATAATGACAAACGTTATGGATGGACAACTTCCTTATTAAGTGATGTGAGGTAACGATATAAGAATCTGTATCGAAATGTCGCATCACCTAATAAAATAGTTATTCATCCATAATGTTTGATCTTATCTAAACCAAAAAATCATGGGCTCTTGAACCAATAAGATGCCAGTTTATACAAGCATTTTTTTTTCCTTTTTGGGTGAAGGTATCAAAATAGGTCCTAAAAAAATTACATTCCAGCTTTAATTGTTTACATTTGGAACTGATTGGTTGATTTTGTTTTCAAGAGCCCAAAATCAAACATCCTACTTTTAATCCTTGGCTCACTCATAGCAACAATTAAGATGCTTTCATATTGATTGGTTGATCAAAAGTTCATGTGATGCGACCTCCTATTGAGGAGCTGTCAGATCTCTGCGGAGGGGTATCGATTCAGAGTAAGGATCTGAATTTAACAAGATTATGAGGTTAATAAAGGCGAAGAAAGCAAAAAAATTGATATCAGTTTGATTTTACTGCATCTCTCAGCATATATACCTCAACTATAGGTCGAACATGGGTCATACCATACTACACTACAGAAAACCATGGTTACCATGGTAACGTTACAAACCTCAGACGATTCTGACTGCTGAAAACACAATAAACAAAGGAAAAACACTTTATAGTAAATACACCTACAACAATTGAAACTTGACAAAAATACTAGAATCGACTAGCTAGTCATGCTGGGATACGACCATGTTGGTTGTTGTTCATTGGTGCAAAACTCAGATACAAGACTGGGATTACAGAGTTATCTCCCTTTGAGAAGTACGCATTCAAAAATGTTCTCCAATCATAATTTATTTTCACTCTTTTATGTTTACTTGATGTAGTTCCACATATTTTTCACTTGTACCAATCATGATTCATTCTTTTAACCAAATGAGGAAGAAAATCTGTCAAAAACAAGATGCTGAGCTAAAAAGTCGAGCACAAATATTAGCAGTCAGGTAGGCAATGTGATTTCAAAAGAGAATTTGAAAAATAGAGACTTAAGCTGACAGCATGTGCTCATGGCCTTTGACAAAAAGAAAACTTTTGTTATTCCAAACAAACAAACCTCAGTTTTAGGGACTCCTGCAATGCAAATCCCGTTGACCCCCCTGGTAACGATTGGGGCGTGTCCATTCGAATATCCATTGCAGCATCCATTCTCCATCAGTTTCCTTTTTTCAGCTCCTTCTTCACAGTGATTGGTGCATTCTTCATGAACACTTGGTGTAGGGGTGCAGTCCATTGGCGTCGTCGCTGGACTGGGGTTGGGAGTTCGGGAGGCAGATAGCTTGCGCTGGAACTCTATCTGGAAGGGGTCACACTTTCCGGTCTTGAGTGCCATCGTCAAACGCCGGACTTTGTCCTCTCCATATTCTCCAACTGACACCTCCATCACTGCAACACAATAGCTGAAATGATCCCACGATCTCCCGAATGCTTCTCAACCCAAAAATGTACTAGAATCTGTACTTTCCTAAGAAGTGTAATCCCAAAAATAACAAATGTCACAAAAATAACAAATGTCACATCTGACCACATTTAAAAGGTATTCTGTATTCATGGCTTCAGAGAGGCGGTGGGGTAGCCTAGTGGATAAGGCGTTCGCTCGTCACAGCGAAGGCCCAGGTTCGATTCCCCACATGGGTACAATGTGTGAAGCCCATTTCTGGTGTACCTCGCCATGATATTGCTGCAATATTGCTAAAAGCGGCATAAAACCCAACTCTCTCACTCACTCATGGCTTCGGAAATTCCACCTGTCAGAGGGGTACACTATCAGCTGTGTTCCATTTTGTTGGTGCCAGGTGGCTGGGTGGGTTAGACTGCAGACTTTGTGTGGTGGCGATTAGAGGCCTCACCCTGAGAGTGTGCGTTTGAATCTCAACCCCAACAGGTACAATGATATGCACTTTACAGTGAACTTTGTATTTAACTGTATTCCTAAATATAACATATATATTCAATTGTTACTAAATAATTTCTTTTAAGTCATATGACACACCTGCTCGAGTTTAATAATTTCTTTATTATCCATTTTATTCATGTACATTTGTGCAGTAAAACACGGTAAGCAAGTGTGACTGCCCTCTTCATTGACGTCACGTTGAAGCGTTTAATGACGTCACAGCCGACGAAATACAGAAACAATGGTTTCTAGGCAAAAGTACGATATATTGATACTGGTTATGTTTCGCCATATGGATAATAATGATATTTATTATGACCTCGCTTTGAGAACATAAAGGGAAAACAGCTCAAAACATGGTACATGTATTACAACTGACTCTAACTTACCATAGTCCGCTGGGTTGTGGTAGTTCGGGCATCGAAGTCCCTGAGACTCAAAGTATGGCAGTAGCGCCGGGATGCTCCCTCTGTACACACACTGGCCCTCCGCCAACATGTACAGCTGGAACACAGGACAGAATCAGCGGTCAATATCAGACATAACTGTTGGTCAATATAGGATAACATAACTGTTGGTCAATATGAGGTTAACATTCATCAGTGAATATAGTGAGTGAGTGAGTTTAGTTTTAACGCCGCACTCAGCAATATTCCAGCTGTATGGCGGCGGTCTGTAAATAATAGAGTCTGGACCAGACAATCCAGTGATCAACAGCATGAGCATCGATCTGCGCAATTGGGAACCGATGACATGTGTCAACCAAGTCAGCGAGCCTGACCACCCGATCCCATTAGTCGCCTCTTACGACAAGCATAGTCACCTTTTGTGGCAAGCATGGGTTGCTGAAGACCTATTCTACCCCGGATCTTCACGGGTCTATCAGTGAATATAGGATAACACCACAGTTAATCAATATGAGGTTAACATTCATCAGTGAATACAGGATAACATCACCAAGCGTAAACATGAGCATAACATCGTTGGTAAGTATAGGATAACATCATGGTTGGTCAGTATCTGGACAAAATAGCTAAGAGTGTCACAGGAATCTATCCAGGATTCCAACAAAGTGCAGTTCTTTTACTGGAGTTGGTGAAATACAAATCACTTCTACAAAGCCACGACATTATACAATTATAGACTGGTGATAAGGTCAATACCTGTTTTTATGGACCCCCGAAAAGCAATATTTACTTCGGACTTCGTCCGGTATTGACCGAATTCACCAGACCGTAATTGTTGTATTATGTAATAACCCCCCAAAAAAAAAACATGTCCATTTAGTCAAGAAAAGTAATGTTAATTTCGCTACAAACCAATAACGTTATGTCAACAATACTGTGACATGTAAACAATAGAATGACATCATAGTATGACATCAAAATGTATCTTTAGTAACTCAAGTCAATATGAATTTTGGTCGGACCTGGTTTGGAGACAATATGCTTTTCTGTCGATGGTCACGTGACCGCCTCTAGACCAATCAGGTAGCCGGAAAAATATGCTTACATAATATTCATAACTGCGTGACAAGATTCAGGAAATGATTACTGACAGCCTCTCAGATGTACTTGATAAATTCTGGGGTCATGATGAGTGAGTGAGTGAGTGAGTGAGTTTAGTTTTACGCCGCACTCAGCAATATTCCAGCTATATGGCGGCGGTCTGTAAATAATTGAGTCTGGACCAGACAATCCAGTGATCAACAGCATGAGCATCGATCTGTGCAATTGGGAACCGATGACAACCAAGTCAGCTAGCCTGACCACCCGATCTCGTTAGTTGCCTCTTACGACAAGCATAGTCACCTTTTGTGGCAAGCATGGGTTGCTGAAGACCTATTCTACCCCGGATCTGCACGGGTCGGGGTCATGATGAGATTACCCTAGCACTTTCGGAGTTTGTCCACAAGACAATCACATCCTTGCTGAATGAACTTACGTGGTCAAACATCTCAAAGAGTTTGGCGCTGGGCTGGTGTATGGTGCAGATGATGGTGCGACCGCCTGCCGCCAGCGTCTTCAGTAGACACACACACTGGTAGCAGGAAGCGCTGTCCAGGCCGCTGGTCGGCTCATCAAAGAACATGACTGGTGGATTGTTGACTAGCTCCAGGGCAATGGACAGCCGTTTCCTCTGGCCGCCAGACAGGTTACAGGTTCTGGTTTTCTTGGAATCTATGAGGCTTAGTGTTTCCAGGATCTCATCAACCTGGTTGAAAAGGGATTTCTTGTCAACACATAGATCTTAAACCTGAGGAAAGTACGATCCTTGTCACTACATGGATCTAAGCTATCTGAGTAAAGATTGATTTCCTGTCAACAGACATATTTCAACCCCATAAATATCATATTTACTGTATCATAATTACCTTATTCCCTGGGTTCCCTATACAATACATATCTTATTTCCTGAATTATTCTAAGAATTCACTATATGACATATATTTTATTCCAAGAGTTCACTATATGATAAACATCTTATTCCACTATGTGATACACAGTCATGCCTCGTTTATCCAAGCCTCAGATATCCGGAAAACTTGCCTTCCGAAAAAAAAATATCCTTAAAATGAATTCACAACGTTGTAAAATTACTTATCCGGAAATCTGGTTTTCATTTTCACATACCAAACGCTAAATTATATGCATTTTTTTCTCATATATCTGAATGGCTGAGTGCCTGTCAGTATGTTTACACACACATTTTACAGAGTGGCCTTGTGTGCCCTAACCTAAAAGAAGTTGGCCGTCTTTGAAGTCTTTTACACATGGTCCTTATATCAGGAAATTTGTTTAACCGGACAATTTCAAGAAAAACACAAGTGTCCAGATAAACAGGGCATGACTGTATATCTTATTTCAAGAGTTGACTATACGGCATATATCTTATTCGCTGAGTTGACTATACAATATACATGTTATTCCCTGAGTTGACAATACAATATATATCTTATTCCCTAAGTTCACTAAACAATATATATCTTATTCCCTGAGTTGACTATACAATATACATGTTATTCCCTGAGTTCATTATACAATATATATCTTATTCCCTGAGTTGACTATACAATATATATCTTATTCCCTGAGTTCACTAAACAATATATATCTTATTCCCTGAGTTGACCATACAACATATATCATATTCCAAGAGTTCACTATACAATTTATTTCTCTTATTCCCTGAGTTGACTATACAATATGTATCTTATTCCCTGAGTTGACTACCCAATAAATATCTCGACTCTATCTGAAGACACCAACCATTTCCTGTTTGTCGGCAGTAGAGAGGCTCTCGTTGAGTTTGAGATTGGCGGAACACATCATGGACTCCTGGACCGTGAGGTGGGGGAGGAGATGATCATCCTGCATGATGTAGCACGACATCTTCCTGAACATCCGCAAGTCGCGATCCTTCCCTCGAACCAGGATCTGACCTGAGATATTCTTTGTCCTTGTGGAAACAAAGCATCACTTGACAAAACTGATAATTGTCCATTTCACATCCCAGTCGACATCACATCACTTTCAGGCACAACCATTAAATAATCGGTTCGAGACAGATTACCTAAAGACAAGCATTATATTTTCTGAAAGGAGTTAGTGAAGAGAACACTTTTTATAGCTAGACAACTCCTTTATTGCAATATATGCCACATTTCTGTGTAGATGCTAACACCGTTGTCAAGCAGTGTTCCTCTTCATCCTACCAGCTTTTAAATGCCACTTAAAGAAGTTAAGGAGAGAGTGAGTGAGTGAGTTTTACGCCGCTTTAAGCAATATTCCAGCAATATCAGTGTGGGGGACACCAGAAATGGGATTCACACACTGTACCCATGTGGGGACTCGAACCCGGGTTTTCAGCGTGGCGAGCGGACACTTAAACCACTAGGCTTCCCCACTGCCCCGTCTCTGAAAGGAAGTGACACAAGCCATGGACCCACCCACAAAACACAGAACATCGGAAATTCCTGTGAAATCTGAGGACAAACTATTTTTTACAGAACTTTCAGGAACAGATTAAATTTTTCAAAAACATCACCAATATGATTAGTTGCATCATCTCTTGTTGCTATAGCAACTGAACTGACCTGTAACCTGCCAGTATGTTCATGAGGGAGGACTTCCCAGCCCCAGACGGTCCCATTATTGCAGTGAGTTCACCAGACTTGAACCGGCCCGAGATGGACTTCAAGATCGTCTTGGGCTCTGAAACATTATGTAGGTCAGTAAGAACCATGAATTCAATAATCAAAATAATTTATTATGAATTCAACATTGAAATTTTTCATCTTAGATTTCAATTAGATCCATTCTATTTTTGATTTACAAAAGCATCTATTTATCATCGAATTCAACAGAGTCATGTGATCCTTGAATTCAACTATCAGATCTATATAAGGCCCCAAAAAATAAACGTTGTGGTTCCGATTTCCTACATTTCAGAACTAGGGTAGGTAGTTAGGTAGGTTTTTTGGTTTTTTTGCAAAATATTTTTACATTACATGATGATTACTCATGTGTCAGAAAATAAATTTCATTTATTATTTGGTGAGTAAAATTGTTAGGCTTGGCGGGAATATTTTGGGTCGGTCGGGAAATCGGAACAACAAGCTTTTTTTTTAAGGTCTAACCCTTGAATTGAAAAATCAAATCTAAAGTGAGCAATCAAATATATACTGTACAAAATAAGTTAGGGATATTGGTATTTTTATGATTGATATTTTATCAGTGTGTCAATGACTGACTGACTGAGTTTGGTTTTACGCCCGCTTTTAGCAATATTCCAGCAACATCACGGCGGGGGACACCAGAAATGGGCTTCACACATTGTACCCATGTAGGGAATCGAACCAAGGTCGTCGGAAATGGTGTGTCAATGAATAGATAGATCATTATTCATAATTTCAAAATTGACATATATCCCTAACTATGTTTGTCCAGTATATATGGTCCTTGGATTCAACTATCAGACATTTGCGATCTTTGAATTCAACAATCACCCCTAACGGTATATAATCCTAGAATTTCTCAATGCTTGGTTAGCCTTTATGATCCTTGGTTCAGGGTATGTGATAATTGTTCTGTAGCTAACCATTACAGGTGAGGTGAAATTGGGTTTAACGTCGTGCTTGAGAATATTTCGTTCATAGGATGATGTGCATGCGTGTGTATGTGTATGTGCGGTTGCTTGTACTAGCCCAGACTGAAGCTGGTTTTATAGTGCTAGCCCACTGAGATATCATGCCGCAGTGAAGCATGATTACCCCACTCAGACACATTATACTGACTCCGAGCCGACCAGTCCTTGTTGTACCCATTAATGCCGAGCGCCAGGCAGGGACCAACAAGTACCATATTTAACGTCTTTTGGTATGACGCGGTCGGGGATCGAAGAAAGGCGTGGAACACAAGAAATAGGCATTGTCAGAGATCAGACCTGGGTCTTCAGTGTGACAAGCGAACACTTAAACCGCTAGGCTACTTTCCTTCCCAAACAAGATCTCCCTACACAATACACCAAAAGGTTATTACTGATAGGCCAAGGAAAATCCCTCCAAAATAGCTACTGCAGAGATGCCAACCCTATTTTGGGCCTAAGTGTAATACTGGAGGTCAAAGAGTGTAATTTGGACCTAAAAAGTGTAATACTTAAAACACTTACATAGTGAAAGGTGATACCTTTATAAAAATTACTTTTAAAAAGAGTTTATTCACATGAATAGGAAAGATTCTAGACAGAAATACACGTGACCAATCATTATGCAGTTCCATAAATCAAAAATTGTTGGTCAGGTGACACAAAATACTTTAATTCCTTACAAGTTAATTTGAATGAGCGCATTGCTAAGAGTAAGCGATTCCTATTGGTGTAAGGCCATTTCTGAACCCCTACACTAGTGCGTTACGAAAACTATTCCCTGTGAAATTTTATCTACTTTATTGATTCTCGCAAAACGGGTAGAAAAGCGTAATTTTCACAGATTAAGTGTAATGGCGTAATTTAATGGTCAAAATCGTAATAATTACGCCCAAAGCGTAAGGGTTGGCATCTCTGCTACTGATATTGAAAAAAAGATCAATAAAACATAAGCCCAATCTACCTTTACCATTCCATCGACTTTTGGATTATTGAGCCAATATTTCATTTCTCCGCATAACCCAATTACCATGTGGACCAAGGCAAATCTTGAAGCGAATGTGTCTTATTGAACGTATCAGCTAGACAGCTTGTTCAAGGACATCCTACCAGCATGATCAACCAATAACTACTGTTGCCATGGTTACCTGGTAAAACAGTCTGTCAGAACCGGCTAAGAAAAGCCTCTGGTTTAATCAAATATAACCTGTCAGTACTGTAGAATGATACATAAGGATGGCGCTCTGTAGCTTGATGAACAAACTGGTCTTCTATTCCTCGACCAAAAATGGCGGTGAGTGGTTCGTCATAAATGTTGAGGACTGTAGGAAAAGTCTAGTGGTCAAATTACGACAGCTGTTTATCCAGTCTTTGTTAATGACATTCAGTAAGTACGATGGATCAATTTATTCTTACAGTTAAATTATTTATATTCCAAAGGGCACACAAATCACCATTATGAGCCTCCCATGGCAAATATCTATCGTACATATAATATTTATCGACAATAAAGGTGAGTGAGTTTAGTTTTACACAACACTCAGCAATATTCCAGCTATTTGGCGGCGGTCTGTAAATATTCGAGTCTGGACAAGACAATCCAGGGATCAACAACATCAGCATCGATCTGCGCAGCTGGGATACGATGACATGAGTCAACCAAGTCAGCGAGCCTGACCACCCGATCCTGTTGGTCACCTCTTACGACAAGTATGGGTTACTGAAGATCAATATTCTAACCCGGATCGATAACAAAGGTAGTATCCAGATATGAAATTAAGAGATCTATGATGAGATCCAGATGTCATAAAGAGAAAATCCTTTTTGATTACTACAATTATTCTTCATCATGTGACAAGTAAAAGAACCACAGTTCTACAATACAGATCCACATTTAACATGTTAATAATGACACAGCAGTTTAATTATTCGTTTTTATTACCTACGAGGGCGAAAATATCAGGGTTAATATTTTTCATACGATACTCTAGGGTAAAATATCACTTTGTCATGGTGACGTGACGTCATAAACAATGCTATGACATCACGTTTCTTCTGTGATGTTGCGTTCTACATGTGGCGACGGCGGGTGGCCAGCCTATATTTGAAAGTAGATTTGGGTTGATTTTCCTCAATTTGATGACTTCGATAATAAACAGAATATTATATTCGTGTCCATATCACACTATGTTTACGACACTCATGCCTAAATATCGGCATATCCCTCGCTCTTGCTCAAGAAATTCTAACATTTAGGCTCTCGTGTCGTAAACATAGTATGACATGGCTAATGCAAATCTTAATGAGGGTGATCTGGAAACAGGTTTTATTCCAGCTTTTCTGAAGTGTTTACAAGGCATGGCAGGTTCAGGTTATTTGAGTGAGTGAGTGGGTTGGGTTTAGCGCCGATTTTAGCAATATTCCAGCAATCAACCATGGGGGACACCACAAATGGGCTTCACACATTGTACCCATGTGGGGAATCGAACCTGGGTCTTCAGCGTGACAAGCGAACACATTAACCACTAGGCTACCACACGGCCCCGGTTCAGATTGAGAATAAAGAACCAACATTACAGGTATCTTCATGTTATGGGTTTTTGGATGCTTAAGAACATCAGCTGTTTCCTCAATTATCAATTGTCAAACATGTACTTAACTTAATAAAGGGAACGTTAACTTTGACACAAGCCATTACCAGAGCACTTACATGTGTGACACAACCTGCCTCGTCATAGTGAGGGTAAGTGCTACCATTTAAAACCATAATCTCACAATACACAAAATATACTGGTCACTCTCCGGCGGATCACAATGATAAGAACACTCTTCATTGAAGCGCTCAGTTTTTGGTTTAAAAAGTTCCAGGTTGAGTGAGTGTGTTTAGTTTTACACGCTTTTAGCAATATTCCAGCAATATCACGGCGGGGGACACCAGAAATGGGCTTCACACATTGTACCCATATGGGGAATCAAACCCGGGTCTTCGACGTGACGAGGGATCGCTTTAACCACTGGGCTACCACACCGCCCTAGTTCCAGGTTGAAAACTTACTGTGTTAGCTAGACAAAGGAAGCTGTTAACTAAGTGAAATGTTCAGCAGGATTTGGACAGGAAACTTTGACAATGGGACATTTTCAAGATTATTAGCCATTTTCTGAATTTAGAATGGGCCTCTTCCTTGTATCAGTAGTGAACTTCAACATTTTAATGGGCCATTTTTTAATTCTAATGTGCAAAATGGCCCATGGCCCCTGCCTTTCCCAATCCTTGGTTCAGCTTAGTTAATTTTACAAAGAGGTTCAGTTTATCTCAGTATACCAATTTGTAGGCTCCATATTGTCAGTCAAAACACAGGTTCAAAGTGATGTGTTGAGTTCCGAGCGCTTTGAGCAAGATATTCATCCTGGAATGGCGCTTTATAAGTGGACTATTATTATTATTATTATTAATCAACACAATAAACGCATCCTTCAGCTGCCAATCAAAACTCATAATGGGTTTCAAATTTATACTATTGAATGTACAGTCATGACCCGACAATACTTGTACAGACTGCCATATCAAACGTCTGTGGGAGAATGGCGTAATGGCACAGTCTAGATAAAACACAGGGGTGGAAATAACCCATTGCCCGACGTCCGAGTCTAGTGTTTTTTCTGTTGGGCAAGCAAATTTGCATATCATGCTGTACCGGTGTCCAGTTGACTTTCCAATGTTAATTATGTTGTTTATTTAAAGAAGAAAATCGGCCTTAATAGTGGAAAAAATATCAGGGCAAGTGATTTTACATGTGCCACTGTACCGGAGTACACGAGCAATTTTAAAGTTATTTCCACCCCTGAAACACTGTGTAAATATTTAACTTTGAACCGGAAAATTCATTAATCGACATCATTAGCATCAACCTATGACATACATCAAGCCAGGCTTTTACCTCGACTCACAAACACGGTGGTCTCGGGAACCCCTAATTATTAGTTTGAAGGGCCCGTGAAGATCCGGGGTAGAATAGGTCTTCAGCAACCCATGCTTGCTGTAAAAGGCGACTATGCTTGTCGTAAGAGG